CAACCCCCCCCCCCCCCCCCCGCCCCCCCCCCCCCCCCCCCCCCCCCAGCATAGTGGCTAGGGAGGCATGCAGAATACTTCCTCCTTTTCTGCAGACAGGCCCCAAATGTGACAGGGCTTGGTCTTTTTACAAAAAAAGATGATGTATCCTACTGCCTTTTCTCTTGCTAGCTCCCTGATTCTGGGGAGCTGATTGCTGCTGCATCCAGCCTAGTTCAACAGGACTGGATGCTGCTCCCCCTCAGAATATTCCAACAGCCTGGCCACCCTGTGGCAAAGCAGCTGTGGATTATAAATCCCAGATTATCCATTTCTTAGAGTACTTCAACAAGAACTTTTTAAAAATATGGGTGCCATCATGACAAGCTTTTAACTAGCACAAAGCAGCCTTTTAGACTAACTGTGGGTCAGCTGTGAAGTAACAAGCCTTCCAGCTTTTCTGGGAAACTCAAGCAGCTCATGACCTAAATTTGCACCACAGTGAAAGACAGGTAGGAGGCAAACACTTATCCTCCTCAGAACAGTGTGCTTCTGGATACCTCCAGAAATCAAGCTCTCCAGCAAGAGCAGAAGTGTCTAGGGAGTCAAGGTCACTAGGAAGCTGGACGATGCTCTAAAGCAGGCAGTGTCTAGGACTGAAACACAATCTGGAAACATGACCTAAGGGAAGCAGCTAAGGTGTGCCTTTTTAAAAAGCCTTAAATGAAATTTCAGTGAATTAGTGACAAATATGAGGTAGGTGTCTTTTGGGCTTTGACCTAAATTTCAACCAAGTATTCCTTTTGAGAGAGCAAAACCCAAAGCCCTAATGCAAGTGATGTCTCAGTGCTAGGAGTCTTTCTGGCAGGATATTGTTTCGGGACTGTAGTGAGCATTCTGCTGCCATGGCAACAAGCATAATAACAAAAAAAAAAGCTTACCTGGATTAATATTTTGAGACAACTGTTGTGCTGCAGCAAACATATTTGCTGATGATTCTAGAAACTGTAGAGGAAACAAATAAGGAGATTAAGTTTTCATAAAATAATAAA